ACATCACCCGTCCTGTGGTTGTAGTGAACGGCACACTCCAAGGCCCTCAGGCCCACTGACATGGTTCTCCGGTCTTCTTCGTTGTCAATCCGGTAGAAAGCGTTCGTCTTGTGCAGGGTGCAGCCGGGTACGGGGGGCGGCATCGCGCTGGAAAAGTGCGGCTTGACGACTTCCTGGAACAGGGTGTAGCACATGGGCCGCATCACGGACTCTGAGCACATCCAGTAGCGCTTCCCTGCCAAGATACGGTCTGTGACAACGGGGTCGACGCTCCGGCAGAACTCGATGATGTCCGAGATGCCACGCAGCTCCATCTGCCTGAGCCCCGGATTGAACTTGCACAGCTCCGCATGGTGCATGACGTTCAGGGAACGGAAGAGGGTGACGGCTTGCTCCTGCTTGTCGATCGGGCTCCCCGACAGCATAAGCACTCTCGACCGGCCCCCGGCCTCGCACGACTCCTTAATCGCCTTGATCAGTGCCTGGCAGGCGGCAAACTGCGAGGACACGTTCTTGAGGTGCTGCATCTCGTCCGCGATCAGGAGAACGCCCTCTGCCAGGAGCGACCTGAAGGCGTCGGTGATCACAAAGTCGGTCTTCTCCACGCGCCGAGGCTCCCCGCGAGGCTGAGGGACGGCCACAGTGTAGTCCCTTCGGGTCAGAAGCCCGTGCTTTGGCTGCTTGCCCTTCATGGAACGGACTCCACAGTAGCTCAAGTTGTGCTTGATTGGCACCCCGTACCTGTCCTTCATCTCCTGCCATTTTGGTTGGACGGATACCGGGCAAACCACGACCACGTGGGGCATTCCGAGCTTGAAGGCAATCTTACTGCTCGAAAATGTCTTTCCGGACCCTAAACTGGAGAAGTCAAGAGCAAATGCATGACGCCGAAGGATGCTAAGGAGCTTTTTCACGTGACTTTCCTGTGATGGCAGCAGCACGATAGCCTCTCTCTTCTCCTCCATGATTCTTATGCAATATCCTGGTGAAGCGTCGCCCTAAGTCACGAACGCTTCACTTGTAGCGAACCCTCTGGCGGGTGCTCATCCCCATCGCAGTCAAGAGGTGGAGGCACTCTTCATCCCTTAAGGAGATACGTCCATCAAATTAGTATCATGGCACTCAACGGAAAGTCCGCTGTCTCTTTGAACGTGCGACAAGTGGTCCATGACAGCGTTCCATACTTCAAGGCGAACGACGTTGCAATCCTTCTGGGCTACTCCAACTACCAAAAAGCGGTGACACAAAATGTCCCCAAGGACTACATTGTCGTAGGGTGCAACATTGGCCTTCTTGGTAACCAGAATGACATGGCAACGAGGTACATCACAAAAGAAGGGGTGGCCGGCTTGGTTTTCCATTCAAGGCTCCCCAATAGCATCGACATCGCACGACAATTAGGAATACCCCTGTCCCTCAAGTTCAAAAGACACTTCCATGAAATGGACACAATTGACACCATCATGCAAGTGTTCCGAGGTGAGAAGATGCTGCGACAGTATTGGGTAGGACACCGTCGTATAGATCTCTATCTACCCGAGTATAACATTGCTCTTGAGTGTGACGAGAATGATCACAAGGATAGAGATCCAGTCGACGAGGCCGAACGGATGTCATTCATTGACTCAGCGATAGAGCCGCAGTGGGTACGTTACAACCCAACACCGGACGCCTTTGATATCGTACGGGCTCTTGGAGATATCTATGCCCTGATCCGCAATAGTAGGAGAGGTTGACAGAACCAAGCCCATACAATGTGGCAATTGTCCAGCAGCTTTGCACACCGAGCACGAAAACACTTTTATCAAAAGCAACTCCCTAAGCAGAGCAGCTAACACAGACCTCATCTGTACAAACGGTACCCTTGTCTTGTTTCTCAACCTTCTCCTGCTTCCTTGCCCTCTTCACCGGGACTGTGACCGCCGTCGGTGTAGTGGATGGCAGGGTTCTCAAATAGTACATCCCTGACACAATACAAAAACGTTGTAGTTAGCAGGACGTCCCACGCGTGCGCAGATGGAGCGGAACTTTCAAAAGTAATTGAGAATTTGAAACATCAATATTTCCTCCTAGGGGAGCGCTGCGAATCCTCCGTGTTTGCGCGCCATGCGCGCAGCACATCCCTCACACAATACAAAAGATGTTGTGAACAACTGCACGTCCCACGCGTGCGCAGATGGAGCGGAACTTTCAAAAGTATTTGAGAATTTGAAACACCAGTATTTCCTCCTAGGGGAGAGCTCTGAAACCTCCGTGTTTGCGTTCCATGCGTGTTCACCTGTCTTGAGGCCCAGTTTGTGGCCGTAGACGAGCGCCGAGGAGAGGCTTGCAGGGGTGGGTTTGCTGAAGAAGAGATTCAAGCTCTGGGACTGATCGATGAAGATCCCGCGATCGGCTGCGAAATCGATCACGACCTTCTGCTTGATCTCCCAGACAGTCTTGTACAGCTCCTTGAGGTCGTCCGGGATCTCAGGGATAGCCTGGATCGACCCTCTGTTTGCCATTATCTGCTCCTTAAGTGACTCGTTCCAGAGCCCCAGCCGGACCAAGTCGGCCATGAGGTGAGGGTTGGTGACCACGAACTCTCCTGCGAGGGTCCTGCGCACGTACATGTTGCTGCCGATCGGCTCTGCCGCCTCCACGTTCCCCAGGAGCTGGCCGGTGGAAGCAATT